GTTGATTCCTTGTGCTCCAGAAGAGTAAGCAGTTCCTGATTAACATGTGACACCCGTCGTGTTACTCCTATAAAATATGTAAACAAGACATTCCCCATTTCCATTCTCAATTTAACTGATATCAAGTTATTAGACTTTACACCATACTGGATTAGTTAATGACTCTTATTGTAAATGTAAATTGTAAAACCCTGAATCTTGACCAAATGTGAACTTTTAAAATTAAAACAAGTGTTTTACGTGACAAAGGATAGACTGATTGCTACCGGTATAGACAACACCGATTTTTAAAAATTAGAAAAAGTAAAAAGAACAACACTTACATAGTGTTCTTTTCATTTTTTACAACATAAGTAAGAGAAACACGAACCCTTTTTCAACAATAATATGGGTGCCCTCGTGTGATCTAGACGAGTAAGCGGGTTCTGTCCCACATTTGGCACCCATCGTTTCAAAAGTAAAATCTATCTCAAGCCTCAAATCATTGTCATAGACCTGAGTCCCATGACGTCAAACAAATCAAATATGTTACCATGTGTCCAGTTTCAATGTGTGTCATTTCTCAATGACGTAATGAAGCTCGAATGCCTAGCCCATTGTTAATTCTTTTAAAGTAGACGCCACTTTTGATATATAGAAAGCTGCTGTGCTAAAGCGCTCTACCCAAGACCTTGAACAGTTGTATAAAAACATATCATAAGAACAACCTGTTTAAATCAGTTGGAAAAGACTTTGCTCACAATATCGGCGCGAAGCACAAATAATCAAAGAAAAAAAAAATACAAAGTGGCGATCTATCAGTCGTTACATTTATTTCACTGTTTGACCTTCAAGGCAACGTTACTGAATTGAAGCACCCTACACAGCCTTTGAACAAATAATGTGTCTATATTGATAATTAAAAAAAAGACTTGATAATAGGGCTAAGTCTGTCATATGTGTTTTTCGAAAACTGTTTTGTGATAAAGTCTGCCGTTAGTTTTCTCTTTTGAATTATTTTTCATTTTCCATGTCGGGGCCTTTTATAGTCGACTATACCGTATGGGTTTTCCTCATTGTTGAATTCCGTACGGTTGCATATATTGCTAACATCCACTTCAGTTGAACTCTGGTGGAAAGTTGTTTCATAGTCAATCATACCACATTTGCTTATTTTTTTACTAATAACTAACTGAAAATAAAATAAATATAATATGTTACATTTTGCCTAAAAGTTCAAATTGTTCATTGTTCAACACTGATGTCGACTTGATTCAAATATATAAGTCGTATTGATGTCTTTGACAACACCTCACCTTCTTCGATGACGTTTTGGTAATTCTGACGTCAACACATCGGGCATTGATAAAAGGAACACATATTTAGAAAAAGAAGAGACATATATTTGTGACCTCTGTGTGATGCAATAAAGAATAGGACACACATCTGAGGAAAGGACCCATTATAAAGGCTGGACATAGATTTGAGGCTGATATATATAAATGTAATGCTCTGAAAAGCAATGATACTCCGAACCGCGATAGTCACGATGAAGTGCGATGGTTTGATGATGAAGTGCGATGGTGGCATTGTGACGCTATCTTGTTTAAAGCTACGCTAAAGGGCGTTTGTGGTAAAGCTGTAGTGCGATGGGCTACATTACCTTCACTGTTAATGTTTTTCGTATAAATAGGAAGATATGGTATGAGTGTCAATGAGACAACTCTTCATCCAAGTTACAATGTGTTAAAAGTAAACAATTATAGGTCAAAGTACGGCCTGCAACACGGAGCCTTGGCTCACACAGAACAGCAAGCAATAAAGGGCCCCAAGATGACTAGTGTAAAACAATTCAAACAGGATTCATGTCCATACGTCGATTTTGATATCAATGTATTTGTAAGAGGCAGCTTTTCATCAAAAGTGTTAGTAAATAGTCAAGAGTATGCAGCGAAATTAATAAAAATGATCTCTCATTTGGTATATGCAACTTTAACTAAGGACATATACGATAAAAAATAAAATCTGTATATCAAATGCTGCAAACAACGTTTAAAGAGATGAACATAAAGGGTATAGATGAAACAATAATATAAGCAGGGCACTTGCAGATGCTATTCCAACAGTATAAGATAATCACATAATTATTATTTGACATGTTTGATAAATTTCTACAATTGACATTTTACAATCGAGAGTCTAGAGTTGGGATATCTAAATAAGGGATCATCTCAAAAGTATGAATTTCATAACTGATTTACTCGGTATAGTAATAGCTGTTTTAACATTGCTGCCAATACATTTTGATAATTGTTTTAACGAATCGCTGTTTTAGTAAACAACGCATAATGAAATTCATCCTATATCTTCTAAGTTTAACATGTTATTTGTTTGGCTGATAAAATGTATGCGACAAGTTCTTCGTAACGATACGTTGGTTGATGTTTTTTATATTAATTTTTTGATGAGTTGGTTGATTGCTTGAAAGACAGATTGATTTATTGGCAGTAATGCATAGTGTTGAGAGATGCATATTTCATATTGACTAATGCATTGATTGATTGTTTGTCTGACGTCAAGAGACGAATTTTTATCCAACATTGTTTACCCAAAGAAACATGTTAAATGTCCCCATCCGACAAAAGAGAAACACGATGAGGATCTTGATTAAACGTGCACGATTCTCTTCAAACTAGTCATCACGCGTCTTAAAGACCATCACAAATGAGCAAAAGGACCATCACAATTAAAAACAACGAAGACCATCAAATATCAGCGTTACAATCAAACTTCAGCGTCACAGTCGCACCTGCGAGTCCTACATTATATGTGATTCAGGTCTCAGACAGGGTATATAATGTTACATTCCCGGTTTAGAGTATATATTCCCTGAGCCATAGGCAAAGGAGATATAAACCCTAAACCGGGAATGTCACATTATATACCCTGTCTGAAACTTAAATTACACAGTCATATATTACGGATTCCCCCTAGTAAAACATTCACGTTTCAATGTAGTATATGTTTTATTAATTGTTTCTTAATATTTTGAGTAATTCTTTTAAATGCAAATTTTTCATCTTGATTTTTTTTTTTTTTTTCCGCATACGTAAGGGATTTTGTTATTTGCTGTGAAAATAATGATATCGTGTATGCAATAATTTGTAATAACACTTTAAGACATTGATTAAGTATTTGATGTGTAAATCGCGTGAATTTCTATTAAAAAACGTATTATTGGAAGATTCGCGTCATTATAATCCTTCTTTGAGCCTCTGACATTTTTTAAGTGTTCTGTATAGCTTAAGATTACGTTACATAGCAACGTTCATTATGATGACGTTGTTGAGGTTCCCATTGGGATAAAAAAAAAACATCTTATATACCGTGGCATGTTTTCTGTATAGACCCTGACATCTTTGTGATGTTATCCAATCATAAAACTCGACACATTTGTTATCCGAAACATATATATGTTCTAGGATGCTGGACACAGTGCAGGCGGTGTTGCCACGATGTCACAGACGCAAGGGTTCGAATCCCGCTGAGGAAAGAACAAAAATTTGCTAACGCAATTTTGAGGATCTAACATTGTTGGGCTAAATTTGAGACGAATTATATATATATATATATATGTCTCACCTAATAAAAGCTCTTCAACTGCAGGATGGTGCAAGTCGTGTGGTTACAGACGATGTCTGACTTGCCAACAAATACTGAATACTCAAACATTTACTTGCCACTCCACCGGGTCCGTATACACTATATATTGCAATGTAACTTGCAAAACCCAGAATGTTGTATACCTTCTTCAGTGTCGATGTGACATGCAGTATGTTGGCGAGACAGAACAGCTATTCAACAAACGCATGAATGGTCATCAAAGTGACTACACCTGCAAGCCCGACCTCCCCGTAAGTCGTCATTTGAGATCACCTTGGCACGCCCAAGCTGATCTCAAAAACCTTACCATCACTATCAGAGACCACAACGAGGGTTGCTCAAGGGCCGACAGACTTGATCGGGACAGTTTTTGGATAAGAAAAGTAAGAACAGATTCCACAGAGGGTATTAATGAAAAAAACATAAAATGAGTCCCTGCTATCAATTGTTTCCTGTAACTAAGGCTTCAGTACAGGACTCTCACAGTTTTAAGGAATTTATCCTTCTCCTCCTCCCAAACATCAATATTGAAAACATTTACCAACGTATTGATTCGTGATAATTTGTATGATGTTCAAGATTATTATTTCAGTTCGACTACCACATGTCAAGATAAAGAGTCATTTGACATCTTACTGATGAAGGATATTAGTTATTCGAGTTATTGCTTATTATATATTATATGTGGTAGTGTCCTGTATCATATTTATATGATCCATCGCCTCGTAAGATTTGTCGTTGGCTATTATTCGGACATTTAATATATATATATATATTATCCCCTCCTCTAACTATATTTGAATATATATATATACCGTTTTATTGCGGGATAAAGGTCAATGACAAATAAACTATAATGACGATAATAGAGAAATAAGTCAGGACTCCAGACGCTCGTTCCGTCAACACTATTGAATGCAAAAAGAAAAATAGTTCATTTAGAAAAGAAATTATGATACCGAGGAGTCAAATATCATTAACAACGGTAGATTTAGCAATTGACACAAAAGAGAAATGATTTGAAAGTTAAAACGACGATTTGTGTTTTCCAGGTTCATAAAATCTATTGTTAACGAACTCCCATCGACTTCACTTATATTTTTAATTTTAGACATGAATTATCCATTTGTCCAAATCGATTCGGAACGAAGCATACAGGTCAAATATGGAGAGTCCCTCATGCTCAAGTCTTACATTAGATCTTATAAAGGATATCCAATTCGAAAAATATATTGGCAGTATATAAATAATGGAATTGCAAAAAGAATTGATTCTAAGACAAATGGGAAAACTTCTGACAACCCATCTCTCACTATTATGCACGTAACTACACTTCTGACAACTCATCTCTCACTATTATGCACGTAACTACATCTGAATCGGCAAAGTTTACCTGTTTTGCTGAAAATGATGTTGGAACTGCAAAAAGTAACTCAGTTGATGTCAATGTAAATGGAGGTGAGTTTTTGTTAAGATTAGAGTTCAAATGTTGCTTCCTTAATTGGCGAACTATTAAAGGTGTCATATATAAACCCTATACATTGTTTATTAGTCTTACATCTATGTTGTCGTTAAAAGAAACAAATAACAAAATACTTCCACATTTGCTTTCTTTATTTTTTAGAATTACTCACAGATAAGGCAAATCTACAAAACGGCCAAACTCATCCATTTATAAATCCCTAAATAACCTATATTTATTGTCAAAATCCTTACCAACACATATATTTTGTCCTAAAATTTTAACAAAACTAGATATTGATGTAGACCAAAAGATATATTTTAAAAAAAAAGCACGTTGCACATACATGTTGTACATGTCGTACATACAATATCCAATTTCAATACAAATGTGAATGCATGCCAATATTTGACACTAACGATATGCTTATTGATGTCACGCTTCAATCACATATTACATTTACACACTATGCCTAAATGTAACCTTCTTTTCTTCACTTAAAACATTGACAAATCCTCAATAACACGATCTTGAAAAAGGATTATCAAATTCGTTTTCAATTTTTTGTTGTACAGTGTATTGTTTTAGCTTGTATTTGCAGCTTTATGTTTTGTATAATGTTGTTTGTATTTTACATGTTTTAGTCTTTTCCTTTTTTCCATGGCGTTGTCAGTTTATTTTCGAATTTCTTTGGTATCTTTCACCTCTCTTTCACTTCTTTTCGAAGAATAATGAATACAGGGCAAATACTAGTTTGTCATACTTTCTTCTTCATGTATACTTATACATATATTATGAGGTGATATGTTATATTATATGGTATTTTTTTTTATAAATTAACTGTTTGCAAATGTAAAAATTATTCGAAATACTAAGGATTTTCTTATCCCAGGCAAAGATTACCTTAGTCGTATTTGGCACAACTTTTTGGAAGTTTGGGTCCTCAATGCTCTTCACCTTTATACTTGTTTGGCTTTTCAACTATTTTGATCAGAGCGTCACTGATGAGTCTTATGAAGACGAAACGCGCGTCTGGCGTATCAAAATCATAAACCCGGTACCCTTGATTACTATTAGAATTTGACAATCATTGTTAATCGCAAATATATTACCATTTACTAGAATGAACAGTCATGGAAAACGTACCGATCGATAGTTATTATATGATACGATGTATTGATAATTGAATGGAAAGTTAACGAACATTATCTGTTCCAAATGTCACATAATGATAAAATTAGCTTGTTCACTCGACTTCCTCTAGTACAACACACTAACACTGATGTCTTGTATATTTCATATTTTGTAATCTTACATGCATATATAATTATATATTAGACACTGTACAATGTGAACATCAAAACAATAATCAGTAATTTATTGTGTTACATGCAGATTAAAACGTTGATAGTATTTTGGACCTACAAAGCAAATTTGTGTTTTGTTTTCTTATACAGCTGAACCTGTTATTGAAGTTTTTAACACAATGTACGAAGCAGATGTTGGGGTAGAGGTTAAACTGGTTTGTTATATACGTTCTGAACCTTTTATCACAAATGTTTATTGGGAAAAAGTTGCAAATGGCACAAAAACAATAATAAATCAAGGATCAGTTGGATATAAGGGTGGAACACCTGTACATCCTTCACTTATTATAAGTTTTCTTACCATGTATGACACCAGAAACTATACATGTCTGGGAACGAATGCGGTTGGAAATAGTCGCAGTCAACCAATAGCCTTACAAGTAATAGGTGGTAAGTTCGAAGTGTCAAAATTTTATTTCACAACGGAAAAATTCAATAAAATTGTGTATCACATTACGTGAATATCTGAATTTAGCAAATGCAAAAGCCATCTCCATGTAAGTGCCAGACTGCTTTCGAGCAATCTAATTTAAAACAGATCCTGTGTCCACGCTTTGCTTACAATGATTTGACTACACCCCGTTCAACAGTTTGTTCTGACTTTTAAATCAACCAATGAAACGGTTGCCTTCACATTTTTAAGGTGTGTATGACAAAACCTGAGGATCGCAAAAGGTCATTAAAACTAAGTCGAACGAAGCGTTAACAGATCCTTTTCAGCGAATCGTGAACGCAAGATATGTATTCTAATCAGATTGACTTTTGAGAATAATGAACTAAGTAGCAAAGTAAAGATAAATCATATGCATTGTTAAACAAAAAGGAATTGGATAAATGTTTCGTGCAAATATCTTTTTAACATTGCCTAAGATACATAAATGCATGTTTATCTCATCAGTGTATAACGTTTGTAACAAGGATAATCCGAACTGTTTGTTAAAATGTCATAGTTATAGATTGATTTGGATTAAGTCTAATCGTCATTCTGAACAAAAAAGACCAAGAAGAAAATGTATTTGTTGAAAAGGAATAATCGTCTGAATATGCATGTTTTGTTAAATTCATACTTAGAGCACCAGGTTTTAAAATTTTCATGAAATAATGATGTTTTAACTTTTAGATTTCCCTGATGTATCTGTACCTATTAACACACACGAAGTAAGTTTTGGTGATAGTGTTGAACTGAAATGTTATGTCAAGGCAAAACCTTTACAACATTTAGTTTTTTTGGCAACATAATGTAACAGGTGTTATCCGACGAATATTAAAGGGAACAGCTGGGACAGAGGGCATGACTGTTGAAAACCCATCACTCTTCATAACATTTGCTTCCAACACCGTTTCTGGACTATATACTTGCTTTGCACAGAATACAGTCGGAACTAGCCAAAGTTCCACAATAAACGTTACAGTAAACGGAGGTAAGATCAAGGGACAATGTCTTTCAATTTACAGATGAATTTAACAGAATCTGAAATGAACAATAATTGAAAATTTATAAAATAATATTGACTACTAGTATTGAACTAAAGTGAACTGAAACATGACTTAACATTCTTACTAAAAGTGTCCAACGTTACAATTTTTTTGTTCACTTGAATAATATATGAAAACGTCAAGTTGTGATTAAAATTAATATTATAAGACTGCTATTCTAACTGATATTGAAATCGCGAAGTAAACGCAAACGTTGTTAGCATAGACAAAAATAAATATGGCTGGCAATATCTATTAAAAAGAGAAAATGTTTTAGGAGGGTTCGAATGTTTGTTAGTTTTTAACATGTTGTAGCAATCTAGCTATGCAATTTATTTACAAACGTTAAGTATCTTTACACATTGTGTTATTATTAAGTTAAATTAGCTAAATAAATTAAATATTGATGTTTCTGTACAGGCGTTTTTAACATAGAATAACACAATACCGATGGGTTAATGAAGCAATATATAATGCGCATTGGTGATTACCTATTGCACTTATCTACAATATCCCTCTTATCAAGTAACTAAATTTCAATGAAAACAGGAATAACAACATATGTTCTTATCTCCATGTAAATAAAAGATTGCATATGATTCTGTGTTTCCGTAAGGGCAAAACGTCAAAAGGGAACATGGATATAACATATCGACACTTTGAATTTTCCCGTGAAAAGAAGTCCAGAAAATACAAATCAATAAGTTCGATACACATACAAGGAAACCGAGGACCAAAATTGGTAGGCATCTTTTATCCCCATTTTAAGTGACAAAATGATAAACCGACACATATTACAAATACAATAACAGATGGAGATAGATTTAGTGAGCAATCTGTAGTAGAGAATTGATAAGAAGTAGTGGATTCGTAAACGATAATCAACGAGCGACTTTAGTCGCAATTTGATTATCGTTTCCGAATCCACTACTTCTTATCAATTCTCTAGCTTAACCCATTTCTAGTAAAATGACTGTCTGTTTTATGTTTTGACAAGGAATCAACGGAATTTCATAAAATTATTTCGTACTTTGTCTTTTTTATTCTATAATAACTGGAAATGATTATATCCACACAGTTCACATCTATATTTAAGTTAACATACATTTAATATAACTTGAATGGTTGTTAGCTCCCCTTTTTAATACCAGATTTCATATTTGTATATTAATATTTCATTTAGTGTTTAATAATTACAAATGATTTAAATTATATATAGATTTTGGAAACTATGATTTATTCAAGAAGACATTTATTTATATACAGTATTTATTTATCATTTTTTGAAAAGTTAAAAAAATATAATTGCCAAAACTTAGAAACCTTTGAAATTTACATATATAGTATATACCAATCTGTCATTGTTTTCAACTGATAAAGAATTGATTTCAATTAATCCGTTCGAAGTAAAGATAAAAAAAAATTAAACCGTTCGTAGTAAAAATATAGAAATTTAGCGTGGTTGCCGTAATACCACGATTTCATGAAGCTCCAGTTCATGATGCTTTTCCAAATAAATACAACTATTTGCTTAAGGTCTTATTTGAACATATACACATGAGTAAAGTTTAAACTGTTTCCCTTTCATTAAGTTTAGATTATTTTAACGTTATTACATTTGACATCCATCGTCAACCTGTCAATAAACTAGTACTATCTGTAGTACGCATTCTAAATCCCCAGCAGAATTGCCCTTGCTACGGATGTACAATGTATAATTATGTCAATGTTTTACTTTTTCATTCAAGCTGTTCATAGCCGTGATCGTCTAGTCGTTGGTACCGAAAGACGTTACTGTGATATTAACAGTGCCAAGTTCAAACCTTGTACCCGGAATGAAATTTTTTCATTGTAATTTTTTTCTCGACCAAAATATTGTCTAAATCTTAGAGGTATTATATATATTTCATTTTTGTATAAAGGCGATGATATTGTTTCTGGTTTTACAGTCAAAGAAGAAGTTTTATGGTCGTAGCTCATATATCACACTTTATTCAAATAGACAACTTTCGAGTTCGTTGCATTTCCATCAAAAACTTTGGTTTTATTGAACATCATTCGTGCGTTTTGGGCGTCGTCACTTCCGTTTCTATGTTGAGCGAATGGCTGAAAAAATGATAATGCTATATTGCACGAATTATTCGGCAAATTAA